AGCTCCGTTGTTGAAGACTGAGTGAGCCTACACACATAGGAGAGAAGGATCAGAGTTTGATCCCTGGTCTGCCCCACAGGTCGCCATGTCTGTTGCAATGCCAGCACCTATGTGGCTTTGATAACTCTGCCTTCCAAATTGATTTTTTAAATTGGCAAGTGTGATGGCCTCTAACTTTGGTCTTCTTGCTCAAAATTGCTCTGGTTATACTGATGTCTGTTGAGGTTCCAAGTGATTTTTTGGAGTTGTTTTCCTGCTGGAATTTGGCTAGCTACTGAATCAAAGCTAAGAACTACTTTGAGAAGTGCAGTCTCTATAACAATATTAATCTGTGGAATTGGTGAGCATAGAACATCTTCCACTCACTTCCATCTGTTTCAGTTAGTTCCTTCAGAGTTCTATAGAATTTGATGATCACGTACGCAGTCGCCTCGCTCAAGTTTGTTCCTAATCATTTATTAATATTTTTTCATGTCATGGGCATCAATGCAGCACTAAAACACAATCAATAAATGTAAAAATAGTCTAATGGTGCTACATCAAGAAAGTAGTTTTGTTCACAACAAAGGAAACAATGAGAGAAACAGGAAGATGATGGAATCTGTACCTGACAGAGGGTCAGTGTGCAAAATATGTAAGGAACTCATGCAACTCAGCAGCAACACATTCTAAAAATGAAGAACAGACTCTTCTTCAATGACGACAACAGAAATCAGTACTGAATGTTAAGTGGCATTAATATTTAGAAAAACAAAACAAACCCTCACTGAGATGTCGCCTTACTGGTGTCAGGACGGCTGTTGTGCCATTGTTTCCTCTAGATTCAAATGGTCCCACATGGATTAGAAAAGGGGGGGCTCTTGAGATAGAAAATTACAAGACCCACCAGGTACCTGTCTGTGGTTATACAGGTAGTAAACTCTTGCTGTGGGAAAGGACATCAGTAGGGCTGCTTACAAGTTGTCCTTTAAAGTCCAGGGATGCTGTTTTCATGAGTCATCATCCATGCTAGGGAGGGATTTCTGGAGATGCAGTTGCATGAGTCTCCCATGCTCCTGAAGGCAACCTGAGTACCTCACCAGTTTATGGAGGCTGACTTGAGTGGAATCATGTCTTTGGTCTGTCAACAGTGCTATATCTAAGGTTAAATAGATAATTATTCATGTCTCCCCAGGGAACATGACACAACACATTAGGCACCAAAACACAGACAAAAATAAAAGTAAAAAAAAAAACAATAAATAGAGAGACCATATAAAACTAGGAAGGTTATGAATAGCAAAGGAAACAACAAAATGAAAGTAAAGAAGAGAATATTTGCAACATGAACCCTTATAAGTACCAATATAACTGAAGATGAGTGAAACAGTGCTGTGGTCTCTGCTATGATATATACATAAGACATATAGCTATAGCTAAGGCTGGGCTATCTGAGGGTGGGGAATCCTAGAATGGCCATCTTCCTGCACTTGGTATAGGGTGGCATCATTTCTTGGAAACAGTACCCTGTGGGATTATGGGGATCCCCCTCTAAAATAACCAGTGTACTAGAGAACATATAACAGTTCTCAAAAGTAGCTTTTATAGGACAAAATAGAAAGCAAGTTAGAATAACAAATGTGTGGAGTCCGCACTAGATGGTATGACGTGTAACAGTCCTGTCTACTCAGAAAGAACATACATGCACAAGGGAGGAATAACAATGTGAAAAAGACAGATGGTTTCCTTCATACTAGCTTCCAGTAGGAAAAGTTACTGGTATTATGAGCTGCGTGGTGTGGGTGCTGGGAACCAAACTCGAGTCCCCTGCAAGGGCATCCTGTGTTCAACTGCTGAGTCCATCTCAGCCTTTAGTTTTTATAAATAAATTATTTCATCTCTCAAAAGTAAATCCTTCACTCTATGTCATATTGCCCAACAGGACTTCATAATCACCAAGGAAATAAAATCCCAACTATCATGAACTTTTTACATTTCAGTTTCTTTCAAAATCCAAAATCTTTCTTTTCTATCCACATCTTGGGGTCCATATGGACAATTCAAGCTTCTGAAAAGCTTTGAGATGCAAACCTAACCTTCACCTTGGCAGTCCCTACTAAGTGTTGTGTGAGACTCTGTATACCAGTGATCAAATACATTTGCTACAAAGAACAACTCCCACTTCAGCAGTCTTTTTACCACGCTGGCACCTGCTGAGTCAGAGTAGGAAAGATTGGAAACAGATAGTACAGCCTATTTCCCAGGATCCCTGAGCAGTCCTCATGGACACAGGAACAACAGCAAGTGTTGGGAAAGCATTGAATTATCTCCCCAAAAATTAGAACTTCTCCAAGTAAGCGGGATTTAATGAGAGTTTAGGAGCATAGATATAAAGTGGTTGTGGTGAACATTACAACAGCACACATCTCAGTTATAAAATATGAAATGTTTATGGGGAAAGATATTGCTTCACTATGAAATCATGCTGTGCAGAACATAGAAAAATGCTTTTGAAGATGTGTCAGAAGATTCCTACTTTGTAGAAGTTTCCAGTGTACAAGCAAGATATAATTCAGGGGTGGATGCAAATTAATAGTCTTCACAGTGCCACACATAAGCATACAAAATTCTTATGCTAGTCTATGCTTAAGAGAAATGAAAATGTTTATACCCACAAAAATTTACACAGGAATATTCACAGCAGAATATCAGGTAAATCAGAGACCAAAAACTGAAAGTAATTTAAATGTTCAGTTAGTCAATAAGCAAACATTGTAGTACCCATACAATGAAATATTATTCAGCCATCAAAAATGATGATGTATTTATATACATTGTTGAATAGTGAGAAGAAAGATCACAAGAGCCCAAAATGGTGGCCAGATGCCAACAACACAACTGCAGATATGAACTCACAACAGTTGTGATAGTATACAAAGACCTATGCAATTTCAAGTCAGACCAAATCCCAGCACAGGAAGGGAAGGTGGGCATAAAGTTCCTCCCCCCAGATAAAAATCTATTAGCAAATGATAGCTGCTGTGAGAGGGACAATCAGTTTTCTTTAAGATTGTAGCCCCTGGTTAGTCAATCAAGCTTCAGTGGGAAGCCACAGATCTAAGAATACTGAACTTTATCGGTAATTGAAAGAGATGGAGAAGAAGAGGGAGAGGGAGAGGGGAAGGGAGAGAGAGAGGAGATAAATATGGATGGGTAGGGAAGGAGCTGGGGAAGGGTGAGTGTAATTAAAATGTATTGTATATAAAAATTCTCAAACTAATAAAAAAAATGAAGGAAAGATAACCAGCCCTGCTTCTACAGTTCCCAAGCACAGAGGCTCTGAAACATGCACTTAAATTTCTATGAGCACGGGACCCTGAGAACACAAGGAAATATTCTTCGGTGGCCTGAGCCATTCATCATATGATGAGAAAGAGTTTTAACGGTGACAGTGCTGTGACCAAGGAAGTGCCTAGGAGACCACAGATGTGCCCAGAGATGAAAATCACCAATCTGGACAAAATGCAAGCACAGCAGCCACAGAAGGGCTCCGGAGAAGGGAGGGCAGGCAAGTCTGTTGGGAGTTGATCTTGGAAGAGCAAGGCAGTAATGAGGCTAAGAGTTCTTGACTGGCCTGAGCCTGAGCCTGGCCACAGAGGGAATGGCCACTGATGAATCCACAGGTCAATCTTCTACTCTCCTGGACTATGCTCTTCTGTCTTCCTCCTGCTTGGCCACCCTCTAGCCATGGACTTGTCACACCTTCCTCAGCATGTGAGAAACTCAGAGTTCCCAGATCCCTTCCTTTTTTTCTCTGGCCATCCATCCTCTATCTCTTCATGCCCAGTTTTCTTTATCTGAACTTGTCCTTGGCTTTTAACTAAGTATGTTTTCTCTTTGTATTTCACAAATGCCTGATTCTTCAGTTATGCCTCATACCCCCTCATCCTTCAGGGCGGCCAGGCTCCATCTCAGCATCCCTGCTAATGCCTCAGCTTCAGACCTGGGGCTATGGGTGGAGGCAAATTCAAAAGATAACCATAAAACAAATATCATATATAGCTTTAATTTCCCTTTAAATGTCCCCAAGAAGACACTGTGTCAGAATTCTTATATTACTTGATTTCTTGGCCAAGCCTGAATTTAGAGAAGACATTTGCCTAGAGGCTGTGATTCCACTGAACTCAGTTGTCTCATGTACAAATGTATTCCTAATGTACAAAATCATCTTCAAATGAGCCCTCCACCTGCCTGAATCACACTGCCCCCTGAACATGTGGACCCAAATAACCTGGCTATCAAAACTAGAAGACTACAAATCATCCTTTTTTTTTTTTTTCTTCCCTTGCCTTCAAATCCAATCCATTTGATTTCTGCTTATTTTAATGTACCAAACTCAAGTTATTTCAAACTTGAGTTAATCTTTATTTAGGTCAGAGCCAGAACCTTAAGCTTGTCTCCCTTCCTTTACTTATGCCTGGCAAGTTCAGCATCTAGCTCTGCTACCATTTGCAAATATAAACACAGTCAGATTTCTTCCATACAAAGATCCTCTAACTGTAACCCACTGCCCATCACAATGATTGTCAAACATTCTCACAGTAACAAACAATCCTTCCTCTGTATCTACGGGTTCAACTGACCACAAAGAGACAGTACTGCACATCCTTCTGTTATCAGCGGTATACTGGGTACCCAGCACATTCCTCCGTTATCAGCATGTGTGTCCCGTGTGACATTCTCTCCTCTCAGCCATGAGCATTTGTGGAAAATGGCAGGTCTAGTTGTCCCTCAGCTTTCATGGTGATCACACCTAGTAATTGTGTCCATTATAACCGTCATTGGCATTGATAGCAAGAGCAGGTCACGTGGTTACATGGCTGAAACTGCAAGTTTCCCAAGGGAAGCCAGAGCCCATCCTCTCACTGATTGGGCACTTTCAGTAAAGTGAGGGGTCAGTATAAACCATGCCCTAGAACACACTCATTGTAATTTTGACTTTGAATGACAGCATCACTCACCCACAAAGGACAACAGAATGGCCAGCAGCACGATGAGGGCGCAGATGCAGGGGATGAGCACCAGGAGGAGGAAACGCAGTAGGTGAGTGGTTGCCAGCCTCTGAGGGCAGCCCTCGCCCACACCACTGTCGGCTCTCAAGACCTGAGAGGGAGAAATGAAACACGGTTTAACATCACACAGCAGCTTCGGGGCTAGTGTGAAGTTCTACTTTACTTTCAGGGAAGTATTATTCCTAAGAGGTTTGACACTGTGTACTTGAGGACATGAAATAAGGTACTGGACAAACAGAAATGAGCAAGTGAATAACTTCATACACAAACAAATCCTTCTCTTCTCCCTCCTCCCCCAGTCAACACCCCCTCTTCCCCATCCTAACTCACCCTTCTCTTTCCCCTTTTCCTCTTCCCCTTTCTCCTCCCACTCTAGCAACTTTTCTTCCTACTTTTTTTTTTATTCTTTACTCTGAAAATTTTTTCATTAGATAAACTTTTAAAGATATTTCAGCGTGTTTTGTTTTGTTAAGCACTTATTAGTATGGCAGTATTCCAAGTGCCATGGATTACCATGGCAAGAACTTCCCGAGTCAGGTGGAAACAAGGTCAGGACTGTCTGGTGAGTAGGAATGAACAGGACACAAACTAGACTTCATTCTTATTTGCCTCCATCCCAACCCGAGTCTGCACACATTCACATTTGGATATAACAGGTTTTGAGGTGGTTAACAACTCCTCAACATTAAGTATTACTGACCAGGCATCTACTAACAAGTCCAAAGTGAGAGACTGTCGTGGGTGTCAGTGAGACAGAATAGCTCAGAGGACACCCTCTGCTGATGCCAATTCCCCCACAGCCTGTCCATAAGGGAGTGAGACAGACCACCACGACAGCTCAAAAGTTCTTGTCAGCAAATGCTTTACATTGTGCAAAGTTCAAGCTCCCGTCTAGGAATTTGTTTATTACAAATGGCTAGCTAAAGGCAGGGGCTTTCTCAGCAGATGCCTGAAATGTTACTAAATGTGCTTCAGGTTCAGACAGGCTGCTGCCCTAGTCTCCAGAGCAAGCATAGATCCTAGTTCTTGAACGCCAGCCTTGGTCTTCTGACAGCGTTGGCACTTGCCTGTTAATCGCTGTGCGATTCTTTGGACCACCATTCTCCAGTGCTGAGCTCCTTTACTTGTTATATTGTGCAGGTCCTGTCCCAGTTGCTGAGCAGCCCTAGCCCAAAATTAATTCCCTTCCCTTCCCCTACTTCCAAACTAATTCTGTCCTGGTTTCTGTATGTTGAAGAAACTCTAATAGTCTAGCCACCTCAATACCAACCACTTCTTCTCACGAACCCCTGGCACACATGGCCAGTACTCTTCCTCTATAATATGAAACCTTCAATAAAAGAACAGCTCCACTTAAAGCCTTTTATTATCTGGACTGCTCTAACAGAATGGTCCTGTAATAGTGTTAGAACTTCCTGGATGGTCCATGGTCATCTCCATACCATGCAAAGGGAATGAATCAGCAAATTTGACAGTTTCTTTCTGAGGCAGGCACAACACTCCACTTTCCCTTCATTCCCCCTGTTAAAATGGACCCTTGGTCACTGAGGTACACAGAAAGCAGCAGTCACCACAGAATGCAATGAAGTCCTCAGTCACCTGAATTCTCCATGCCACACCTTTAATCCCAGCACTCCTGAGGCAGGGACAGGGGATTTCAGTGAATTCAAGGCCAGCTGGTCTATAAAGTGAGTTCCGGACAGCCAGGGCTACACAGAGAAAGCCTATCTCAAAACAAAAACAAATAAACAAAAAAAAAAAAAAAAAGAATTCTCCATGAGAAGATACTGTTTGAAAGAAGTCATGATTTTTAACCTAAAAATGGGCTACTAACCCGTTCCTAATGCATCTGGTTCAATGCACCAGCCAAGGTGAGTTCATGTAATCACTCTACAGTTGATTTTCAGGAGGATAGAGTAATGGAGTAATAAAATAGGGGGTTGGTGACAGTACCACAATCATAGCTCTGTCACTGGACACAGGGAACCCTTTCTGGCTTGCAGATAACATTGATGTGACAGGACTGCAGGCCAACAGAGATAGTGACAGAATCAATTTACTTAATTAGGTATCGAATGCTTACAGTAAGTCTAGTGATGGTTTCAAACCAATGGTCTCTCTGAAGCTCGCATTTTACAGGAGAAATAACTGCATGGGAACTCCAGGATGGGAATACAGTTTCCTGAGGAAGGACTATAAGGAGGATGCACTTCAACCAGCACAGTTCTAAGGAAAGTAACCTTGGGAAAGTCCATTAGAGATGAAAACACATGCAGGGTGGTGAAGGACTGTGAACTCCCTCAGACTCCCCCTGCCATAACAAATGCCATCTCTTTATTAAAGTTGTCATGGGACTATTTCAGGCATAACTGTCCCAGGGTATCCTCAGGGGCCCCTTGTCATCCAGAAAGCTGTAGCAAAGCACATCCCACTCAGTATTCACAAGGAGAGAATGAGAGGTGGGGAGTTCTAGAATTCCATGGAAGGACACAGGCATAAGTGCCTAACCTCTGGAAACTACACTCCTGGTTAGTTTCAATATTTCGCCAATGGCTAGGGAACTGATGTCTTTATTTATTTATTTGTTTGTTTGTTTGTTTGTTTGTTTATTTTCTAAGGAAGATAAGGGAGAACTACTTAAAACAACTCAGTATTTTAGTACAGTCTTCTCAGTCACATGTTTTCCTGACTGCTCTCTTGGCTCCTAGACTGTGCTTAGAGAGTTGTGTTGGTTAGGAGTCTATGAGGCCCCTCTGAACATCATGAAACATAGGCCTGTATTAGTCAGGGTTCTCTAGAGGAACAGGACTGATAGAACATATACAAGAATTATTAGAGTGACTTACAACAATGGTTCTCAACCTTCCTGATCTGTTCCTCATGCTTTGATTACCCTTAAAATTATTTTTCTTGCTACTTCATAACCATAATTTTGCTACAGTTATTAATTATAATTTAATATTTGTGTTTCTGATAGTCTTGGGCAACCCCTGTAAAAGGGCCATTCGATCCCCAAAGGGTGGCGATCCACAGACTTAGAACCACTGGCTTACAGGCTGCGGTTCAGCTATTCCAACCCTGGCTGTTTCCCCACAGAAGGTGCAATAATCTAGTAGTTGCTCAGTCCACAAGGCTGGATATCTCAGCTGGTCTTTAGTATATGCCAAACTCCCAAAGAAGCAGGCTCTAATACCGGTGGAAAAAAATGAAGTTGACAGTGAATGTGAAGGCAAGCAGACAGCAAAACCTTCCTTCTTCCATGTTCTTTATATGGGCTGCCAGCAGAAGGCTCCCTCAAAAGATACAGATTTAAAGGTGGGTCTTCCCACTTCGAACAACTTAAACAAAAATTCCCCACAGGTGTATCCAGTTTCTTGGGTTTTAGTTAATTCCGGGTGCAGTCAAGCTAATAACCAAGAATGGCCATCACAACAAAAATGGGTTAATCGCTGAGACTATCCCTACCCTTCATTTCAGGAGGCTCTGAGAGCACTCTCCCAGGGGGCATTCATCTTCCAGTCTTCTAGAACTGAACCTCCTCACCTTTGGGACCATGGGAGGAGTTCAGGGAGCTGGGCATCTCATCAGAACTGCATGTGTATATTACAAAGCAATTCACCCTGATAGTTTTCTAATCTCATTGGGGAAAACTTGCTTCTTGTATCTGAAGAACAGCACTCGTATAAAGTGCTGTCATGTTTGCTTTTACAGCATAGAATGATAAACTCTTCTTAAAGGGAGTATTTTCTTAAGTCAGTTTATTTCCACTGGGGCCCTTCTCCTCCTATCTTCTGTGTTCCTAACTCTGGTGTGTTTGTCTCTTCACTTGCTATTTTAATCACCTTTGTGACAGCCATTCTCTGAATCTCTTGGGGCCCCCTAGCCAGTGAGCCCCTGAATCTTCTTCTAGTCTGCCTGCTGTCCTTTTTTTCATCCTCCCATATATCTGCTTTCAGCTGTTGAATCTTTACTGTAAAACCCATGCTGATGTTCTGAACACCTTCATTCCTCTGGGTTTCCCCCATCCCTGCCATGGTTAGAGTTTCAACAACTTAAGCTAAAATCACATGGAAAGAAGAGCTTCTATTGAAGGTCCATCCTGTAGATAAGTCTATAAGGCATTTTCTTGGTTGCTAATTGACAGAGAAAAGCTTAGCCCAGTGGAACCAGTCTGGGAAATTGGTCCCTAAGGGGAAAAAAAAAAAGCTAAATAGGGAGGGGAGAGCAAGCTAATACACAGTATGTCTCCATGGCCTCTGGTTCAGTCCCTAGTTTCAGGTTCCTATCCACTATGATATAGAAAAGTCCTTTCCCCTCTCCCCTAAGTTTCTCTTTGCCACAATCTTTATCACAGAACAGAAAGCAAATTACGACAGTCACCTGTCTTTTAAAGCCAACCCAGGTGAACATAACAGTCTTTTCTCTGGCTTTTTCCGTCTAGGTGGTAGTGTGCGTCTGTGTGTCATCTGACAGAGCTACTTGGCTGGTGAGTTCAAAGTTTGCTTTTCATACTCTCCTGTTCTGACGACAATTCCCATTTTATAAAAAATAAATAAATAAAACCATCATATGAAGGTCACCACCCTTTCCTAAATCTAAAGCTATAGACTTGCTTTGTTTCTGTACCCTAGTTCGCTACCCACAGAGAATTTGCCACCGTCCCCATCTGAGACTGACCCTTCCATTTCTGCTACAGATCCTATCACCTCATTTAGAAGTCTTTTTAAATCATCTCTAAACCTCTCTCCCCATCCCTGTCTCTCCCTCCTCCCTTCCCCCATCACCATATCCTCTATTGCTAGCTTTTTACCAAATCTAAAAGTTTAATTACATCTTGGGCTAGAGGAATAGCAAGCAACAAAGACCTGAGTTCAGAGTCTCAAAGCCCAGCCTGTGACTCCAGCCCTGGAAGACAGAGACAGGGGAGCCCTAGACAAGCAGGTCAGGAAGACTACATGTTGGCAAGCTTTCATTGAAAGACTCTGCCTCAGTGACCAAGGTGAAGAGCAATGGAGGATGTCTCCTAACATGAGCCTGGGGCCTCCTGTAAAACCTGTACACACACAGTCATACACACATGCATATCACACA